AGACTCGACGGCGGCGCGTCGACCACGAAGACCGTGTGCGCCCAGCCGCACGCCAGGGCCCGCAGCGGCCGCTGCCCCACGGAGTTGACGCGCGCGGCCGTCGCCGCGACGCGCGGGTTCGCGCGCCGGTCCCTCCGATCCCCGCTCCCGAGCTGGCCGTCGTCGCCGCGGCCCCAGGCGTAGGTCGCCGTGCCCCCGCCGGGGAGCCGCACGCAGCACACGGAGTGGCGGCCGCCCGCGGACCTGTGCCGAATTCAACCACTGGTTTGGGTGGTCCTGACCAAACTTGAGAATTCTCTAGCTCGGTCAAATCGAAGTCGATTCGGCTGATTTTTGGACGAACCGATTGCTCTCGTCGAGTTCTCGAAGCACGACTGAAGAGATTTCGTCGAAACTGTCGCGTACGCTCACACTGAAGTCGACTTGAAGATTTGAATTCGGCACAGCCGCGGACAGCGCCTCGACGACCGCGCCGTTGTTCCCGTCGGGCGATCCCAAAAATTTCCCGCCGACGCGGCGCGGCGCCGCCGCGGAGCACGTCGACCCGCCGCACTGGCCGTAGGCGTTCCACCCGAAGGCCCAGATCGCGTCGCCGGACGCGTGCCGCGTCGCGCAGAGCGTGTGGCGGTAGCCGCACGCCGCCAGGACGCACTCCGCGCCGCCGTCGCCGGGCAGCGGGACCTCCGCGGGCCGCAGGCCGTCGCCGCCGGCGGACGCGCCGCACTGGCCGTAGGCCGCCCAGCCCCAGGTCACGAGCGCGCCGTCGGCCGTCACGACGGCGTTGTGCCGCGACCCGCAGCTGACCGCCGCCGCGGGCCGCGTCTTGAAGAACTCGACGGCCCTGGGCGCGAGCTGGCGCCGGCGGTCGCCGTGGCCCAGCGCGCCGTCGTCGCCGCAGCCCCAGGAGTAGACCGCGCCGTCCGCGTCCAACGCGAGCGAATGCGTGCGGCCCGCGCCGACGGCGACGACGGACGTCGGCAATCCCACGGCGGCGCCCATCAACCCGACGGTCGAGCCCACGGACTGCGAGATGACGTTCCGGGACCTCGACCTCGAGTGGGAGTGGGGCGAGACCGTCGACATCGACCTCCACATGTGCAACAAGGTCTACTCCTACTCCTACGGCGTCATCGACGTGCTCCTCTACGAGGGCTCCGTCTCCGGCGACCCCGTCGAGACCATCGCGCAGTACGAGGCGATGCACACGGCGGACACCATGCTCCACT